AATTACAGGCTGAGCCACCGAGCCCGGCTTAATTTTTGATTTATTGTAGAGATGAGGTCTTGCCAAGTTACCCAGGCGGGTCTCGAACCCTCGGGCGCAGGCAGTTCACTCACCTCAGCCTCCCAAGGCGCAGGATTACAGGCTGAGCCACCAAGCCTGGCTCCAAGCTCATTATTAAATGAGTCCTTTGACTTGTCCTGCACCCTAGCAGATAGGTGAGGCTGAAAAATGGAATGGTTCCCACTTCCGTCAGCTCAGTTCCCACCTTAACTCACAGCTCAGCACACCACTTATGATTTCATCTTTCTACTAATTATTTGAAATTTTTATTATTATATAATAAACTCTGGTAAATATTGGGTTTGTTTCTAGCCTCTCTTCTGGTCCATTCATCCATTTCCCTTGTCCCTGTCCCAGGAGTGCACCAAAAGCAGAGGATGGGATAATCTTCTGGAAGGCCTTTCTCATACTGTACAGAACTGGGAACAGCCTGGGGGATGGGAGTGGTCCCATGGGTCAGTCTTCATCTGTGTCACTAGGGCCCATGTACTGGCAGACAGCATCGTAATGAAGCTCCACCACCTGATTCTCTCTCTGCAGCTGCACCCAAGCCCGGCTCCGAGCTCTGTCCCGGCCTAGCAGACGTCCCACCTGGAGGAAGGGTGGAGTGGAGTTAGTAAGGCCAGCCCAGTCCTTGAGGTAGCTCCCGAGTGACCCCCAAACCTCCCACTTCCAGGTCTGCAACTCACTCTTCCAGCCTGTGGACCCAGCACCACCATCACACGGTCACCCTCTGCCTTGGGAACCAGGGTCTCCAACATGTCTTCCCTCAGGCCTGCAGATGAGAGAGGAGAGTGAGACTGGCAAGGGCCAGCCCAGCCAGGATCCTGTCAGAAGAGCCCTTCCTGTATTCCCAAGCGACTCTATACCCTGTCAACAACTGGAGTCTCACCACACCCATTTAACAGATGAGGAAACCTAAGGAGCAGATCATCAAAATAACACATAAAGGAATCATTGACATAGGGTGGTGGCGGTGGAGGTAACAAGAACCGTTTATCGTGGGCATGTTGTAAGGCCTTCCCTGAACTGAAAGCTCGAAATGCTAGCCTCCCATAAGGCACCAGTCACAAGAGGGAGAAATAGGCATTTCCAGGCTAATCTGACAGAAGAGCATAGCGAGAGTATCATGAAAACATCTCATGTTCTATAAGGGGATGCCGGGCCTTGCAAAGAACCTGAACTCTGCCTGCGCTCCCATCCAGGCACTTGACTCCAGACACCCTCCTTGGTCATCCTCCAGGAAGGTAACGCCCCAGCTGCCATCACTCAGACTAACCTTCCAGGACTCGGCCTTCATCTGTTCGACACACACAGCTATCTGGGCTCAGGACATCTTCAATCGTCATCTGGGGATACAGGTCAGGGAGATGTGAGATGTTAAGAGTTAAGGGGGCCCAGACCCTGGGGAAGGAAGGGGACCCAGGCCGCGGGGTTCCCACCTTGGTGTTGTAATATTGGCCACCTTTGTGCAGCTTGTCCACAAACCGCACACGCAGGTCCCTGTACAGCCAGTGCTGAGTCATGGGGGCTGCCTTCTCACTCTTGGCTACAGGCCTATCCTGTCTGTGGAGAGGGGACCAGCACCAGGCTCGATTTTTCATCAGATGCACTAACCAGTCGCCCTGCCTCTGCCTATGCTGTGAAACCCATCCACAATGCCATTCCTCCTTCCTTTAATGCACCTGCCTTGCCCTGGAAGCCTGCTCTAGTTCCTTGAGCCTACCCACACACCTGCCCTCTTCCCTTATCCCACATGCTCAGAGTCCCACCGGTCTGGAAGGTGTTTCCGCTTCCTCTCTGAGCTCTCCCGCTGGACATGGAGGTCCTGATTCCGGAGGGCCTTCTGTGATGAGGCTGTTCCATTCTGTTGCCCTGGGAAAGTTTTGCTCACCTGGCCTGTTCAAGGGGGTGTGGGGAGAACCAGTAAAGAGTCTGTGTCTCACTTTGGGAGGCTGAGGTGAGAGGATTACCTGAACCCATGGGTTCAAGACCAGCCCGAGCAACTTGGTGAGACCTCATCTCTACAACAAATCAAAAAATTAGATGGGTGTGGTGGCGCACGCCTATAGTTCCAGCTACTTGGAAAGCTGAGATGGAAGGATGGCCTGAGCCCTGTAGGTTGAGGCTGCGGTGGCCAGAAGCGTGCCACTATACTCCAGCTTGGGTGACAGAACGAGACTCCAACTCAAAAAAAAAAAAAAAGTCTGTGTCTCACTGCCCCTTCCTTCTAAGGCCATGCCTTAGCCTAGGACCATCTCCACCTGCCAATGTGCCCTTTGTCACCATCACGTATTTGCTAGTAGAATGCCTCTAGCCCCCTGTCAACCATTTCAGTCCCCTTCAGGAAGCTTCCTTCAGCTACCCCAGCCCTCACCAACAGTGCTCATCTAGTGTAGGCTAGAATCTGGAGGGCACCCATCTGCCCAACTGCCCCAGCCTACCGATATGCCTTCACCTGGCTGTTCTGCCTGCCTAGAATTACTTCCTCCTTGGTCATACCCTAACCCCAGTGGTTCTCATTTCCTAGCAAAAGAGGTTCATCACTCCAAACAAAGCCCCCTTGAGGGGAGGAATTGGTGTTTGCACCTGTTTCTTCCCTGTCAGAGACAGCCTACAGACCCAGGGGGATGATATCAACCTTTCTTTTAGTCAAACAGAATAAGCTATGTATGTCTACTTTCACCTCCTGAACTCTGACCAGAAGTGACACTTGCCAGGCAGACTGCTGGCCCTCCCCTCTGCAGATCTAAAACCCACCCCATGAGCCAGGCCCTGCCACCCCTAGGAATGCTTCTCCAACTCCCCTAGCTATGCAAGAGGTCCACTCACTAAGATCCAAGGAATTCTTGTCAAACTCCTGCTGGGAGACAGGCCGCAGGAAGTACTCACTAACAGTCACCATGCGGCTCCCCACAGCCAGACGAATCATGGCCCGAACATTGTCAGGATCAAGGCCTTCCACCTAGGGTGTTGGAGAAAGAAGTTAGGCAGGGGTTGTGAACTCCACCCATATTTCTAGGACCAAGTTTACATCCAATAGGCCTGATCCTTGTGTCTCCCTCATCAGATTAACTCCTGAGGGCCTGAGAACAGACTTGGTTCCTATGTCTCCCAACAGACTGCGACCTTTGAGAAGTGGGGCCAGGGCTGGTTTCTGTGTCTCCCTCAGCAGACTATGGGGCCTGTTCAGCCGTTTTTTAAGCATCGAATGCTCAGGAACTTATGGCATTCTCTCCTTTTTAGCTGGGAACTGAGGCTCAGAAAAGTCTGGCAAGTGGTCCTGGGTTACTGAATGAGGCAATGGACCAGGCAGGCTGAAAAGACTAGGACTCTCAGCCTTTCTACTGCAAACCCAATTCTTCTTCCCTCTGACCCTCAAATCAACCTTCCCTGCTACCTATCTTGGGCTCCAGGATATTTTGGTTCCTTACCTTCCCATAGAGGCCTCGGTGAGGGCCAGAAAGGACCACCACAGCTCCACCAGGCACTAGCGCTTGAGGCTGGTCTTCCTTATCCTTCTCTTGTTCCTCATCTGGCCTTGGCACACGGGAGGCACCGGTGGGGGCCAAGGCCTGAGCCTCAGTCAAGTTGGCACCCAACCCTAACCCCTTGGGCCTCAGTGAGTTGACCCGGGGCTTCACCACTCTGCAGGAAGGAATATGGGCTTGTTTTGGCCTTGTTCCAGGGGTTGCAACTGTCTTTTTTTTTTTTTTTTTTTTTTTGAGTCAGAGTCTCACTCTGTCACCCAGACTGGAGTGCAGTGGCATGCTCCTGGTCACCGCAGCGTCGACTTGCTGGGTTCAGGCAATCCTTCCACTTCAGCCTTCCAAGTAGCTGGAACTACGGGCATGCGCCACCATGCCTGGCTAATTTTTTGATTTATGTAGAGACGAGGTCTCACCATGGTGCCCAGACTGGTCTTGAACCCATAGACTTAAGCAATCCTCTTGCCTCAGCCTCCCAAAGTGCTGGGATTATAGGTGTGAGCCACTGTGCCCAGCTGCAACAGTCTTTTTTTTTTTTTTTTAGATTAAAAATATACAGTTTATTTAAAAAGTAAATTAGAGAGAGAAAGAAAAGGGAGAGAGAGGCAGGCTCAGTGGCTCAGCCTGTAATCCTGTGCTTTGGGAGGCTGAGGTGAGTGGATTGCCTGAGCCCGCAGGTTCGAGACCCACCTGGCCAACTTGGCGAGACCGCATCTGTACAATAAATGAAAAATTAGCCGGGCGTGGTAGCGCGTGCCTGTAGTTCCGGCTACTTGGAAGGCTGAGGCGGAAGGATCGCCGGAGCCCGGCAGGTCGAGGCTGCGG